CAACAAATAACAAAACGCGCATTTGTACCCTATGATTACAGCAGAGAGCTGAACACGTGCTGTTTTATTTATCTATCTAAATATTTATCTATGCGTGTGTGTGTGTGTGAGTGTGTGCTGATGTTCGCTCAAGTATGTTTGCCTACACGTAATTACAAAAACCTTAGCAGAATTACAAAAGCTTGCTCACTTCCTAGTGCACACACGCAAGCACACACACGTGCACTCACACGCACACAGGCGCATATGAAGAACGAGAGAATCGAAATTATGAACAACAGCAGCAGCAACAACAACAACGACAGTGATTGGTTTGCCTCTTCTTTAAGAGGCACTCACACACGCACACACACTCTCTCGGCCGATGTCGACATCGTATGTGTGGCGCCATCCTTCTCACACCTCTTCTCTACACTTCGCCCCCTTGCACTTACACCCACAGCTAATGGCATCGCATCAAAAGCTATCGTATATAAAAACGGCACAACACGAGCCTTGTGCACATCACTCACTCATTTTCGCTCGCTCGCTCGCTCACTCGCTCACTCTCTTCCGTATGTTCGCTCGCTTGCTCTCCTGCTGCTGGTGCTGGCTCTGCTGCTGCTGTCTACTTTCTCTCTATAAATAGTTGAAATCGAGTTCCAGCTACAAATTCAATGCAAATACACAACGAAAAGCGTGAAAGTGACGCAGTTTAAGCAAAACACACAACGTCGGGTCACCGTTCACCTTGAAGCCAGGAGAGAGTCGCAATTTGTCCCTAGGAAAGTCTAACCTCGATCTCTCTCTCTCTCTCTCTGTGTCTCTATTGAAGCATCGTTCGACCCTTAGGCAAATTGTAATCCAAATTTCGTTTGTTTACATGTGTATCGATCGCACACACTCTCTCTCTGTCTCTCTGTCTCTCACTTGCCATTAGACATGGCAAAGGTTGCAATTACAATTACAATTGTTGCATTGAATTTTCATGGCAAGGAAATTTCATTTTATTCCATTTCATGATAACGATCAGCTATAGCTGCCGACGGGGTCAGTTGTATTTAGATATTTAGCTGTCATATGTGATTGTAATTGTGGTTGTAATTATTATTGTTGATGTTGTTGTTGGTGCGCTTGAGCATAACGGTAATCATGTCTAAGCACGACATTGCCCATGAATTCGAATATATACAATATAAATCTTTATGTATGTATGTATCTAAGTATCTATGTATAATTGTATGTATGTATTTATGTATTGCAATACACGTATATAAATATTTGTATCTTTTAGCTAATTAAAAATAGATTCCAAAAATTATTTCATTATTAATAATAATAAATAATAATTATAATAAAATAAAATATTTTATATGTCTATTTTTTAATTTCATTTTATTTTTTTCTTTCGTAAACGGAAAATTCGAATTAGCATTTGACTCTTTTAGTCTGACTCTTGACTCTAGTATTACTAAATATATTATTATTATTATTATTATTAAAGCCACTATGACACTTTGCTTACCTGGCTAAGGCCATTCTAACATGAGAAAGCCCTCCGAGAGGCAACGCAATTGCATCCACTTTGAAAGATTTTTCTTAACACAGCACGAAAAACCAAAAACAAGTGATTTTTGTTACTCAATTGATTTATTTATAAATTTTGTAGTTCACTGCACTTGAATGTTGTTCTTGTGGTGAATAATATGTACAGTGTGGAATTTTTAAAAATTCTGAAATTCTTTTTCAATTCGCTGCCAAATTTTCTTTTCTAGTTTTCAATTTTAGTTTTGGGTTATTAGACACACAAGGATAGAGAGAAAGAGATAGAGATAGCTCAAACTTAACGCCTTAAAGTACGCTTTGCTTTTAGTCGGAAAAGCTGCGACAATAACAACAACAGCAACGTGTAGCTCAGAGATCATCATCCAGCTAAAAAACACACACACACACATACATACACATACACATATCAAACTTTTATCACATTCAATTCAGGGTGTACGTGTGACACCACATTTATGGCCAAGTTGATACGCCCGTCTACGTGATATTTGTGCGTGAAATTGTCGAAGAGCGCTACAAAGCAAAAAAAAAAAAGCCATAGCCAAAGCCAAAGCAGCAAAAAAACACACACATACATATGCACTCGCACATAAAAGAAGGGTGAAGAAACCAGCAAACAGTGTTCAATGCCATCGACCAAAAGCAAAAAAGCAACAACAACAGCAAGCAGATGAATCGAAACGACAAAAAAAATACCCAGTCAACTTATCAGCATTGTCTGATAAGCAACGAAATTAAACAAAGGCAAGCAACTGACAACGGCAACGGTAAGGCAAACGGCAACATCAAGAACTCAAACTGCAAAAACAACAATAATAGCAGCAACAATAAAAGCAATAGCACAATGCCAGTGGCATTTGCTGACGCTGCTGTGTCCATTCGCACATGGCCCAGCAAAAGGATTGATAAACGCAAAGGCAGAATTAGCTAAGAAAAATACAGTTAGCTTTAACACATGCCGCACACTGCTTGCCCTTGTATACAACGTACATATGTATGTATACATAACTATGCATAATTTTATTTTCTAACTCGATTTACAACTAATACTTCCTATATAAACCTGTCCGTTAAAGATTTACCAACACTTGACACAATTGATCATAGAATGCTCAGGTCTTCAGCTAAGGGGCATTAGAACAAAATCAATAACTGTGCACCGGGCACAGGCGAGGTCAGCACTGACACCCAGACAGCCAGAGATGAAGATGAACAAATGAAGCGAGAGCAGAGAATGCTTCGGTGGAACGTTATGTGGGCATCTTTGCAAGGGAATTTGGATATATTCATAGGTGCACAGTGCACGCATTAAGAGCAAACGAAATGGCTGTGTAGAGTAATCACATTAGTAGCGACAACAACAACTATAACGACCAGCATTGATAAGTGCAAACGAGCAGAGAGAGAGAGAGAGGGAGAGAAAAACTACTAGCTAAATTCCATTCCACAGTCATGAGAGTACACAAGGTTCTTCCTATATCAGTCGATTTGATTTTAATGTGTGTGTGTGTATATATAGTTATATATATGTATGTATATACTACACATATGTGTACGAGTATACAAAAATAAAAATACAAGCTAAAGCTAAAAGCTAAAGCACAGAGCAAAGCCAAAAACATGCGCAGAAATAAAAAGCTTGCGTTTACTTTTGACTTTGCACTGAAATCTAAGCGCTCACTCGCTCGCTCACATAGCCACCCGCTCAGAGTCAAACTCGCTCACTCACTCTCTCTCTCTCTCTCTCTCTGAGTGAGGCAAAACCTGCACCGGTGAGGGTCGTTTGATAGCAGTAAATAGCGGTGGGTGTTTGTCTGCTTGACTATTGAACGCGCGCCGAGCATATGACCTCAGCGGGAGAGCATGCAAAGTGGGAGAGCGCAAGCGAGCGAGCTAGTGAGTGCGTAAGTGTGAGCGCAGCTGAGCCTGTTAAGTGTGTGCTCATTTATAAACAATAAACAAAATAGTGGCGCACATGTTTTTAATTGAATTTTACTTTTGTGTATGGCCAGCAAGGCGAAATCAAAACATATGTTATATGTGCGAGCGAGACGAATAGAATTATACAAATACTCAAAACGAATATATACATACACATGTATATACATACATTTATGTATATATTTCGCTTGAGGGAGAGCGAGCAAGAGGGCACGCTCGAGAATTTCAATGCTGACTGCAGTAGCTATTGTTGTTGTTGCTGTTGCTGTTGTTGGCAGCATTTATATTTATTGCTAACAAATTTGTGCAAATCTGGCAACGCTATTAAGACAAGCAATCTCTGCTTTTCATTAGCATTGTTTTTAGTATCCGAAATTGAACTGTATTTGCGTCACTCAGATAAAGAGACAGAGTGAAAGAGAGCAGCGCATAGAGAGCAAGAACAAAGATGAGCTAACAGTTAATGTGCTCTTGAGTGTGTTTCGTTAATGCCGCCTGTCATCATTTGATGTACTAACTAATAGCTGTTGTTGTCATTGTTGTAGTATTTGCTTTATTGACTTGTGCGTAATTGAAGGCCTTTGGCTAAATGACCTCAAACAACCCAAAATTCAAGAGTATAAGTGAAAAAGTGCTCGCACTCAGATTGAGGAAGTTGTCTCTGTAGTTCTCGTTGCTTTTGTTGTAGTTGTTGCAAAGCTCTCGACTTGTTCGCGATTCACGTTTAATTGCGCGTGTTTCTTGCTTCCAACTAGAAGTATATGTATATTTTACTTTTTTTTGTGCTTAAATTAAGGTCATAACAACACTCGCAAGGGGCACAAAGCACACGCGTGCGGGTCACGCTATGCGCCGGCAGTTACAAATTAATTGAAAATGTAAAGAGACGCCCGAACTTTTCAAACATATACACAGAGATACATACGCACACACCTTGGCACTGTGACAAACCGAAATCAACCTCTTCAACGCGTAATTTTTGATAGTTTATAGCCAATGTTTAACAATTAGACGCGTTCTGCGAGGCAGCGATACAAAAAGCACATAAACTTCACGCTACGCGCAGCAGCTGACGACTGAGTGAGCTTTTTCTTGACTTTTTGCCTGACAGTGGTGTGTGTGCGTGTGTGAGCGCGCATGTACGTGTGTCTGTCTTCATATTTTAGTAGATAGCGTGTCTATGTGTGTGTTTTGTATGTTCATATTTTGCCGCTGGATTTTTACCTTTGGCTCAGAATTTGTTTTGCTTTTGCGCTGAGCTTTCTTGTGTTTGCACTCTCAGCTGTCAGGGTTGAGTAACGGAGCCGTTGGCCCACAGGGAGTAAGAAGGATTATGCTATAGTTAAAAAGCTACTTAGATTTAAGCATGACTGAGAACTCAAGGTTCAACCATATACAGGAAATCATCTAAGTAGAAGACAAATATACAATGAAAGCTTCCATCTTTAGCCGGTTTACGAATCGATAACTGGTGCAATCCAAACTGACTCCCAGAAATCTGAGAGATAACTCACCTGCTTCTCTAACTGTTGACAGCCGGCGCTGTCCCGCAATCGAGCAACCCTATTTGAATGTCGCTTGTTGAACAAGTGATCCAGCAGAATCTGGAAATATATAAAAGAACAACAGTATATAATGACAAGGAATCAATTGAGAAGTGCATTCGAGTAGCCTTTGTGTGTTTGTGTGAATTTAAAGAAAACATTTAACGAATAACAAAATTAACAAATTAAATATGCGCAAATCGGTCTTTGACTTTTTGCCGCTGCTGTTACTGTTGTTATTGTTGCTGCTGTCATTCCCTTTGTGCATGCATTCATTCCCCTCAGAATAAAACGACAAAAAGTCTCGAGAAAAAAAGCACCGAAAGGCAAATCAGCCAAAAATAAACGGGTCGGAGTGTATTCAACTACGGAATACGCTTTCAAAAATCATCTACAATTCGATTCGATTATCAAATACTTACATATTTTACACAAAATTATAAATTTATTTTTTTTTATATTGCTATATTTTAAGTTAAGGAATCGTTTTGAATTTCATCCACAATAGCTATCAAAAATAAACAAGAAATCATTCTCGTTTTTTTTATCGCTATCGATAACACGTATCACACAATCATGTTTTCACAGCCGATATATTTATTTAGGTACAATAAAAACAATGAGCAATGCACTAAATTTGGAAAGGGGTGGCATAACGGAGTTCGATTAATTTACAGGCTTTATGGAGCCAAAAAAGATTTGGGTCTCTGCATTTGCAGAAAACACACCCACCCACATTCATGTGGCATGCAAGTGTACTTTTGCCCGTACACACACGCACATCTATATATACATGTATGCAGTAATACACCTAAAGATTCACACATACGCACCTTCTGTAGATGGTTATTTTCCTTAATTGCGTACCGTCAATTTGATTTATATAAGTCGACGCAGTTCACACAATTCGCTGGGCATTTGTTGTACCAACAAATTGATATAGGATTGAATGCACTTTTCGGTATTGACAACACAATATGGCGATATTGCTTCTTTCACTTTTTTCAGGCCAACTTGTATGAACTGCGCCACACACACGCACACACGTACACACGTTCGACGACGACGACGGCGACTGGCGAATACGTTTGTCCGAAATGCATCGGTTATTGCACTGCACTTGACTATATTAATTTACTACGCGTTATTTGCTGGCTATTGCATTGCAGATGCCATGCGCCTTCTATTATTATTTTGTTTTATTATAAATAAATACGAGACGAATTAAGCCAGCGAACGCGCTGCGCTTTTCATTCCATGCTGCGGCGGTCACAAAACACACACATAAACACACGCACGCACGCACACAAATACGTACGACAATTGTATGTGAGTGGGCTCAATGCTGCGATCTGGCAGCACCATCGATCAAAGCAACACTGCCAAACAGCTGTCAATAGGTAATCATTTTTAATCGAGACAGGAAATAATACTTATCATAATTAGATCACCGAAAAACAAATAAAAAATGTTCGTCAACTTGAGCTTATGCAATAAATCTACTCAAATTCTGTATGCTTATCTAACGATTTAAAGCACGACTAACCAGCTATGGTGGCTCGTCGATAGATCGATAAGTCCTTTTGCAAACTAATGAAAAAATCAACGAAACGCAGTAAAATCAATTAAATTAAAGAGTTGAGCTGGCCTTTAGACAATTTATTTATATATGCATATATAAAGAAAAAGAAAGAAGATTATTATCAGGCCAGGCAGCTCGTGTGCACTAGAATATTAAGCAAATAATTAGTGGCAACAACAACTACTACAAAAGAGCACGAGCAGGCTGTGTTTGTGAGTGTGTAAAATGTCGTGTATATATACATATGTATTTAGCTTGTTTTATGTTGGTGTACTCACACAGGCATAGATCTTAACTATTTATTGCACTCTCGCCCTGTGTGTGCGCTGACCACGTATTCCCCACGTATCTACAGCGGCCATGGATAGCAACAAAGATGAGGCACAGCGCTGCATTGACCTAGCTGAGCAGGCATTCACCGAAGGCAAGATCGAGCGGGCTGAGAAGTTTCTGCTAAAAGCGGAAAAACTCTACCCAACGGACAAGGCAAAGCGTGAGTAAATCATCGACCTTAATTTTGCATCGTAATCGCAAAACTTAACGAAACTTTGTAGAGCTACTGGCCAAGGTAAAAAGCTCTCCATGCAGTGGCAAGGAACGTCCAGCGACCGGTGCCGACGCGGACTCTGGACCGCGTAAGCGTGTCAACTCCGATTCCAAGCCCCATGCGCCGGAATATACGAATGATCAGATCGAGGCTGTCAAAAAGGTCAAAAAGTATGTGAACTAAATCTAACTCAGCTGAAAAGAATATTTAATAGCTTATGCTTGCCCAGGTGTAAGGACTACTATGAGGTGCTCGGTGTCAGTAAGACAGCCACCGATTCAGAGATAAAGAAGGCGTACAAAAAGCTCGCCTTGCAACTGCATCCGGACAAGAACAAGGCACCTGGCGCTGTGGAGGCATTCAAGACGTTGGGCAACGCCGCTGGCGTCTTAACCGATGTGGAGAAGCGCAAGAACTACGATCTTTATGGCATTAATGATTCGCAGAATGGTGGCACCCGCGGCCACCATGGCCATTCCCAGCACTACAGTGACTATGGCGGTTTCCAGGCGAATATGAGCCCCGAGGATATATTCAATATGTTCTTTGAAAACGGATTCTCACAGCAAAATATTTACATGCGCCAGCAGCGACGCCGGCATCAGACACGCGACGACAGAGACGTAAGTAGACTGCAATATATATATTAACAATAAAAATATAGTAATATATATAATATTTTAATTAAACTTTCAACACACTTGCAGTCAAACAACTCGTCAGCCTTGATAAACTTGTTGCCCATTTTATTGCTCATCGGCTTGTCCATGATGTCGTCCTTCTTTATATCAGATCCTATGTATAGTCTAACGCCTTCACAGTGAGTCTCATATAGATGACATATATGCTATAAAAATAAGATTTGAACACCCATTTTCTCCTTCAGTAAATACTCGGTGAAGCGTGAGACAAATGGCCTCAAGATTCCCTATTACGTAAAGGACAATTTCTATTCAGAGTATCAAGGTTCAGTTGCCCGTTTGGAGGAATCGGTGGAGGAAGATTTTGTCAATCACTTGAAACACTCTTGTAGTCGAGAACGAAATTATCGTAAGATTGAACAAACTTGATGCATTTACAATCTGAAATTGAAATTTGTCTTTCTGTTCCTTGTACAGGTGACTCAATGTTGGCTAAGGCTCGCACGTTTGGGGATCGGGATCTGTATCGGAAGGCTCAAAACATAAACACCCCATCGTGTGAGAATCTGCAAAAGTATATAATCACATGATTTCAATATCCACAATACGCTCGCAATCAAATTTATACGTGATTTAGACACATTTTTGTTTTTGATTCTAGTTTTTATCTGTTATAAAATATGAGTTTTGTTCAAAATAATATGTTATAGTTACGCCTTTGACATACGCATACATTTATACACACACACACACATCAATTTACAATATTTACGCATAGTTTTAATGAGAAACATCAGCTGCCTCTCTCTCGACCCAAGTAGATGATAAAATCTCTTAAGCAAAGCAAAAATTTGTTAGCTTCACAGATTTTCTATATCTTATCTATAAAACGAAATTGTACTACAGTCAAGCTCTGTTCGCCGCGGCAGAGTTTTCTTTGTATATGTAAGTTCACATTATCTAAGTAAAAAGAGTTTGTACTATTATAATATCCTACCTAAAGGAATATTTTGTTGAACGGACAAACCCGCTATCTATATATGCAAAAAAAAAAAAAAAGTTTTACTAAGCTCTTGAAAGTTTATAGTGAAATTTTACTGTGCGTGCAATTTAATTTTATAGTATGCAAAAATTAACTAAACTATATCAGTCTCTAAGGATAGCTTACGTTAGGAGAGAGGTTTCACTGTACTTTGCTGGTTCATTAGTCAAATGTTTTGGTTGGAAGAACACCAAATAAATGGATAATAAATTATAACAAAATGAAACAACTTATGGTTTAGATCACACATAAATAAACTTGAAACATATATCAAAATCTATATTCAACTGGATTGATTTGATTTCTCTTTCTTTACTAGTTATATAAATGTACAAATAAAGCAGTGTTTTTGCTAAGTAAAAGAAACGGGGCTCCATCGCTCCGGGCGCTCTTCAACTGCTGATGATGGCCTCCAGGGCAGCAACAACATCGCCGCTCTGTTCCCTCAGCACCTTCTCCGCCTGGGCCTTTGTCACGAGCAGCTCGTTCATCTACGAATGAAATGAGCATCAAATTGGGGGCCACTACTTTCAGTAATGGGGCGGGCTTAGCTACTCACAATCAGTTCAATGTCCTCCTTCTTCACTTGGACTTTCTGCAGCTCCTTCTCCTTGGCCACCCTAAGCTCGTTCTCTTTGCTGCGCTGGTTGCCAAACTGTTCCACTGCCTGAAATTGATGGATTGATCAATGAACTGTGAACTCAGTTTGCATGCAATTAGAGAATTTCCATTTCAATTTACACTCGATATATTCGCGGCTGAGATTTCCTTCTCTTCGGCATAGTCTGTCACACGTTCCAGGTCGGCGGCGCCGCCGTCGTGACGCGTTTGCTTCTTTTGCTTGATGTCATCGTCCTGGCCATCTTCATCGACTTCGGTGCCATTGACCTCGACCTCCGGCTCTGTTTCGCCCATTGCTGTTGTTTGTTTCTAATTCAATTTAGTGTAATATTTAATTTTGCTTGGCGTAGCCTCGTGCAAGTAGTTTTTCCTTTACATTTGTTTTTCTCAACACTGCAAATTACGATAACAAAACTAATCGACTATCCGCCACATATGACAGTGCTCTTCATCACCCTCTTGATGAACAAAATAAAATAATTGGTTTGCGACTTGGCTATGCCAATAAGAACTACTATCACTATTTTCAATTTGATTTTAAGATTTCAAAAAGAGTTTTTCTGTCGCTCAAATTTAAAAGAAATATGATACTTATTCAACATAATGTTAAATTTAAGCAATACATTTGACACTGAACGCAGCACTACTCATGTTGGCTAAACATTTAACGAAATGGTTAAGGTTGTGGTGTGTGTCTTAGCTATAGGTAAGAGAATGTTGCTGTACTAATCAGCATATTCAGCTGTCTTTGCTATTCCAAAAGTAGCTGTAGTTGTTCCCAATTGGAATTTCAGCCTTGGAATGAGTAGAGTGTGAGTCGTGACACGAAATTTCTATTGAGCACGTAAATTAAACTAAAAATTAAATTGATATATAAACTTGATACTTTCGATGCAAACAGAAATTTGAATTAATCTTAATTGCTATTGCTATTGATTTATTATAATAATAATATAAATATTGTATATCACATTGCACATGTTTTGCCCATGTCTTAAAGCAAGGCATGTGTAAAGCCACAAAACTAATTAAAAATAGCTCTAGCATAAAGTTCACACTTATATACATATATTTAATTTTTTTAGTTCCACTTTTTCTATATAAACTGAATTTGGTTTCTGTGCAAATTTCATTGCGGTCAAAATGTTAATTATAAGTTTCCGAGCAGAAAATAATGAGATTGTGTCGCAAATGCAGAGAGATTCACAAAGGCGCAAAATCCTTCAACAGTTGCTGCCGTTTCCTAGTCGCTCGCTGCGGGCGTCCTAGCCATGCCATGGCGTGGCATGAGCCGGCGTGGCATGCCATGTCGCGTCGTGTCCTATCCTGTCCTGTTCCTAGTCTCATCCAGTCACCAGTCTCATGTCCTGTTGACATAATCGTTTGCCATCATGATTAATTTAATTGTCACTTTGATGCAAGCGACTTTCGACCCGGCACCAAAATCAAGATTAATTAACATCTCGACCATGGGCGGTCAACATCATTTGTTAGTGTAATACACCACATATGGCTAACATGTGTCTGCATATATGTGCGTGTGTCAGTGTGTGTGTGTGTGTGTGGGTCCAGCTCAATTTTAATTTAATTCAATTTCGCTTGCTCTCATCAGCTTTAACTTGAACTCCGTTGCAACTGAAGCCGACTGAAGTAGCCTTTTGGCAGTTGCCAAATAGATCTCTGCGAACTGCATGCTGCATACTGCATGCGGCGAGCTGTGGGTGGATGCAACATATTTTATGCAGCACACGATTGCAGTCAAACAAAAATTGTTATGCATGTGCATACGCATACACTGAGAGAAACAACCAGGAACTGAAACATTTTTAAATTCGGCATGAGGACTAAATTGAATTTTTGATAAAAATAATAAAATTTGAAAAAATATATATATTATACAATAATAATAACAAACATATTTATAATAAAAACAACAGCACACATAGTTGTCGTGATTTATTATCAAAACTTTACCAAATTGTAATATTCGCAAGTGTAGAAACCATTGTGCGTGTGTTTGTTTCTGTGTGTGTGTGTGACGCAACAAGTCGCTCATTTAAAATGTTTGTGCCAGGCTCGCTTCCAGTTGGCAATGAGCTGATTCGTTGCGCTCTGCGCTCGTTGCCAATTCCCAATTGGAAATTAAATTATGCCGCTAATTAGCGATGGCAAACACTGCACACACACACACACACACACACACACACACGCACATGTACACTCACACCATGCACAGCATACATAAATTATGCTGGCAATTTTGGTTCTCATTGTGGTTTTTGCCTGCACAAATTTCGCATGCGGCTCATTGCATATTTTCAGGCTCAGCTTCCCCATCTCTTTCCACTTCCCTTTTCACTTCGCGCCGTTGGCATTTCCCGTTACTTGTTCATGTTTGCATGTGCCACTGAGCGCAAGAATTCACACAGTAAATTTTGGCTTTTGCATGTCTCGAGGGTGGGGTGGCAACGCCAGCAGCAAGCAGTGAGCGGAATAGAAAAGGAAATGAGTGAGAGAGGGAGAGTGCAAGTCCAGGCGCTGCCAGTGCTGCCACCCGTCAATGCGGACGGCACTTGGCCGCGTGATCCAATTGAGCTACATTGTTTTTTATTGAGCTGTCAGCATGAAGAGAGTGAGAGGGGAAGAGAGTGAGCGTGAGTGTTGGTTTACATTTGTTTGCCTTTTGCGTGGTTTAACTTCATGTTTTTTGACACTTGTTTCGCACTGGGCTATAAAGTGTCTTTAGATAGGGTTGCTATTGTGGCTGGAAGCTAGAAGAGCTTTAAAATTATGAAGAAAAACTTTCAACACTTGTCACACACACTACGTAGGGAAAGTGTATAAATGTTTGTATGTATATTATAATTTGCATACGTACATATGTATTTACGTATTTATCATTTTTTCTTAGAAAAAATTGAAGCTTTCATTCATACGAGAATTCTGTTTTATGAATGTATTTTCATTAAACCGAGCTACTGTATGATTTTCATGAACTAAATAGAGTTGACCTTTAAAATTTTCTGTCACTCTCTTTAAATATCTATCTCCTTCTCTTTCTGCCAGTTAGCTTGCTCTCTCTCTCTCTCTCTCTCTCTCTCTCTTTCCCTCTCTCTCTCTATTCTCTTTTTATTCATGCTCTCTCCTTAGTTTCTTCTTATTCTATCCCTCTCTAGACACCTCTTCTATTTTATCTAATAGATAATATCTACATATGTATGTCTTAAGTAACCACATTGATTGATAGATATTGCTTTCGATTAAGCGTAACTCCATCTGCATCTCATAATTTGCCTCCTCCACAGATTTCATTCAGCAAATTTGTAAAATCTCATTTCGAGCCATTTCATCCACAGCCGCCAACGGAGATTGAAGCTCTGTTGTGTGAGGAATGCAATGAAACGTGCAGGTGTGTGTGTGTGTCTCTCTCTCCCTCTCTCTCTCTCTGCGGGTGTGTGAGTGTGACAATCGATTTATGATTGCATGTCCTTGTGGCATGTCCTCCGACTGATGGCCAATGCCATTTGGCCAGCCGAAATGCAGTCAATAAATAAATTTGCATACCAAATAAATTAAGAAAATGCAATTTTCAAGAACTGTCGAGCATAGACGGCAGCGTATTTGCATATGGAATATGGAATATGAGATATGGAATGTGGGAATATTGGAACAGTGGAATATGGAAATAACTAAGAATGAAAATATGGGATATAGAATATGGGAACATGGAATATGGAAATATTGAAGTATGATAAGAGAATAGAATGTATAAAGAACTGACAATGGAAATATGGGAAGACGTCGAATAAGTGAATGTAGGACATGCAATATGGAAAATAGGGATATCAATATGAACTACAAAGACAGATACTTGAAGTGTCCTTAAGCGTATCCTTTAAAGCCTTTGCATGCATAATTGGCCAGCAACTCAATTACGCTAATAACACTCGAGCAGCGCGGCTTGAATGCTTCACATGCTTCTACTTCAAGCGTAATCGATGGACTCCGTCTCATCCTGCTCTCAATGCCACTTGCCAAACTTTGGTTTATTCGCAAATTGTCCAAAAATAATTGAGCCATTGAAGGCGCTCGACTGGTCAGCAAGCAGTAAGTTGTAACAGTAACTGATACAAGAAACTTGCTCCTTTCGTCCCCAGCAAAGGATGTTACAAAAAAGGACATACTCTGTGAGAGTGTGTGTGTGCGTGTGTGTGGCGACCTATTGACGACCTTTATCGCACTGTACATAAACCATAATCGCAATTGGCAAGTGGCCGCCACTCGAGATCTCCAAGGCAAGGCATTGTCATGCTTGGCAGGAGCTGGACACACACACACACACACGTATAGTAACAGAGCGAGCTGCACTGGACAGCAGTGTAACGCATTGAACGGAAGCGCTGCTCATTCATTTAAAACTTGTCTGCAAGTTGCCAAGTTCCCACACCCAGCGAGAGCGCAGAGCGCGAGAGAGCGGAGTGTGAGTGAGCGAGTGTGAGCGAGAAGGTGCAAGCATGAGTGTGATTGTGTGCGTGCGTGTATGGCAAAGCTGTTTCTTCCGATTGCACACACACACACGCGCACACACACAATTGGAGAGTAGCTGGAGAGCAGCTGCATGTGTGTGTTTGAGCATTGTAAAATCTTTTCTACACACACACACACATGCACGTGAGCAGAGTGTAGGTGCAAACACACACCAGCTCATGTGTGTGCGTGTGTGTGTTTCGTTAAGTCTTCGGCTAGCAACCTCATTCACTCGCTCACTCTTTCGCTCTGTTTGCCTCGCACTCCTTTTGGCATTTTGCAACTTTTGCGTTTAACAATTTCGCTTCCTTCCGCTGGGCCAAACCTGGCGCCAGGTTGTCGTCGAAATTTGTTTTAATCGTCATCTTTGCCATCCTACGTAAGCGCTTTCCACTTTGGCAAATTCCCTGCTGCTTCTTCTTCTTCTGTCCAAAGGTTCGTTGACGTTCCCGTTCAGAGTTTATCGCAAGTTTTCAAGTGGTGCGAGAGGGTCAGGGGAGGGCAGGGTGAGAGTGGTAGGGTAACTGCTTCGCTTATCGATGGCCCGTTCAATATTTTATTAGTGTCCTTAGCAGCGAGCGAGTTCTCTTACAGCAAATGGGCGCCACATCCGTGTACCTTTCGGTTCAAAGTACTTGGGTTAAGTTTTCTGCATGCCTTCGCCGTCGTCTTCTTCTTGGCCTTTGATTTCTTACTGTTGGCTTGGCAATAAATTTTTATTTCCATGTAGCAGCGCTGGCCCCATCCTCCCGGCCTGGCCAACTCGAATCGGCCATTTAGCTTGAGCTTAGCTAATGGCCCTGTCTAACATTTAGTGGCTGCCGCCGTTTACATAAACTCGGCGAAGCAATTGA